GAGAGAGAGAGAGAGAGAGAGAGAGAGAGAGAGAGAGAGAGAGAGAAACGGATTCCACTTTTGAAAAGCTTTTGAACGAAGCGCTTTATCGCTTTCGTTCCCTTTTTCCGCCCTTCTCGTTATTTTTTAAATGGGAATAATTCCGATTCTCGGAATTTCACGAGACGTTCAACTACTCTCGTTCCAAATTTCCCATTCCTCGCTCGTTTTTCTCTCCGCGAAAAAAAAAAAAAGAAAAGAAAGGTTAACGTCCTTTCGAAGAACGATCGATTAGCTGATTTTACACGATCGAAACTTTTCGATCGCGCGCTTCTCGAAACCACTACTTTTAATCCTCCATTCGAGATATTCGATTTCGGGATTTAGCCGCCCGATAAATTGAATTTATTCCGAGTTGTTCTAACGCAAGGGCGTTACGTTATCTCGTCATCCACGTACGAAAACGACAAGATCGTTGTGTTTCGATCGTTTCGTATCAATGGAGAAAAGGAAAAGGAAAAAACGAAAGGCACGATCGAATCGCGAATACCGTTATCCGTAGGAAATCACGTTATCATCGAATTCCGGTTCTTTCTCGGCCGGTTGTCGCCGCGAATCGTACAACATCGTTCTTCGTCGTTTCTCCTTTTGATCTCGAGTATCGGGGTGTGCAATCTAAATTCCACGGATCACCGAATTTCTCGCTCTTCCTCCGCCCCGATCGGACAGATTCATAGATCGTCGGTCATCTGACAAATTGAATTTTTCTTCACCGAACGAGGAGGGAGCGTTTTATTTATTAAAATCCCGACGACCTTCGTGAAAATCCCCAACCCCTTCACCTTGCACAAGATAAATCGAGTCGAGGATAACGTTTGGATCGCAGGATGGATCCGTGCTCCTCGTTTCTCGAAGCAGAATCGAGCAATTACAATTACGTTTCTTTTCGACCGACCATCCATCCAAGCGTTCTCGGAACGCTTTTCTCGCCCGCAAATCCCTCCTCCCCCGAAGCGAGAATGGTCCACGTAACCACGTTGTCTAGCGAGTTTTCCCATTAAAGGGACACACACGGTTGCTGTTTGCCCTCGGTTTGCCCGCTTTCTCGAATCACCCTAGGCAGATTCTCTTATTCGTGGGTCAGGTTGGGTTAGGGACGGCCAATCACACACGTCGTAATTACGTTTGAGAGAAACGTTGCCACTTCACCGGACCACCATGTTTCAGCGAAATCTGAAGTTCCATTCGACGAGAGCGGGGAGGATCCATTGTTGTTGGCCGCTTTCGTGGCCGCAATTTGGCCACGATTAATCGAAAAAGTTGGCGGTACACGTTGGTGGCCGCTCTCGTTGGTTGCCACGAACCTGTTTTCTTTACGTAATTGCTCGATTTTTCCAAACGCAAATATTTGATCACGGGTGGGAGAGGAGGGATCATTCGAGTCGGCAATTTTCTTTCCTTCTTCTCGAGCTGCAGTTTAGCGGGTCAATAATCTTAACGAGATGACGTTCGACATCGTTTCTCCTTTATTTATCGACGACGAATACCGGAAGAATCATTTCAATCTCTGCACACGACTTGATTCTTTCTTCCTGACTCTTAAATAAAGAGATTTCTTTTCTCCACCTGTTTTTGGCTAAAACGAAAAAATATCTCGATCGAAAGCCGCCAGAAACATTCTTCCGGATCGCGTTTAAAAATTCCATCCGCGGATCCTCCCCCTCCCCACGCGTCGTCCAGAGAATAAGAGAAATTCGATCTTAGGATCGATGATCGATCCCTTTGTCAGCCTCTCGACCGGCGATTATTAAAATTTATTGGTTTATCGAGCATGATAACCCTCGCTCGACCGAGCGTAAGCTGGTCGGTGGATTAAGAAAGGTCGTTAACAGGGTCACCTTTGTCCCTCGATCGCGCGCTAGAAATACGACACAAGGGAAACAATTACGCGTTACATAAGGTGTTGCGATGCTCGTGACTCCATCCATGTTTCTGCACGCAATTTCATTTCTCCTCTCTTTCGAAAAAAAAAAGAAGAAGAAAAAGAAAAAGGGAAGAGAGAAAGAAAGAAAGAAATAAAGAAAGAAAGAAATTATCAAAAGAGAAATTTTATCATAAAAATGTTCATATTTGAAAGTATCCACTGCTCGACTACTTTTATAGATCTATAGACAGGAAAGCGTATACTGTAACAAAGAATATTTTGCGTGGTACGTTCGATTCGAGCTCGTGGTTTTTCCTCCTATTTGCTTTTCGTTCCGTTCATTAAGCGCGGTCACAAATTCCTTTCTTGATCCTCTTATCGGATTCAATTCGCCTTATCGGCCTACAAAAATTCCTTGCAACGACTTGGCCCCGAGCAATGATTTTTCCTTAATCCATACGGCACGGGGGAGGAAGGGAAAGTAGGAAGAAACTGGAGGAGGGTAGTTGAAGTCCTTTGCGATAGACGATTTTAAATCGTTCACCAACCAAATTAATCCCCCCCCTTCCCGCCTCCCCCTCCCTCTGAATGTTGAATAATCATCGGCGACGTGTATTAATTGGAACTCGATGAGGGAGGATTAAGAACTGAGTGGCTGGTCGACCTTTTCCTCTCTCTTTTTTCTCCGTTTTTCTCTCTCTGTCTTCGTCTTTCATTTCGACGTATGGCTCGTCGTTAACTTTTTGTTCGATCGAGGCAAGGGAATTGAAAACTGTGAAAGTTAATTGCAAGACGAAGTTGAATCGTCTACTCACCGATTCGTTCGACGAAGAGAGCGGTTCTTATCTGATGGAGTGTATGGTTGTAAGAAGATTTCGAAAGATTTCCGGAGCGAAGAGATACTTTTCCGAAGCAGGATTTTGAAACAAGTACATATATATATATAAAACAAGATACTTTATTCCTGTCTATTTCCCCTCCCTCCTCCTAAAGAAGGACATCTCGAGATTCGATCGCGAGTTTTCGATTTCCACGAAAAGCCCACCCCTTGTCGTTATTATTTCCGTGACCACGAACGATTTCGAATTCCATCCGTATAAACAATTTCCCCAAGCATTCTCTGCTGGTGGAACAAACGTCAACACGTTCACCTCAAAGCCAAACCCACACCACGAGACCGTTGCTTGGCCACACAAGTTTATGAGGTTGAACCTTTCGTTTCACGGTGAACTAACTCAGTGGCCAGTAGAAGTTTTGGCGCACTTTTCGGAAAATCTACCATTCCGTACGAAAACGTTGGGAAACGTACGATAGGAATTCCCGTGTGTGTGTGTGTGTGTGTGTGTGCAAATCCGCATCGCACCTCTTTCCTTCTCTCTCCTCCGACAAAGACTGTGATTATTCTAGAGAATGGGTTTATCGATCGCTCGAAGATATCGCTCGTGGACAAACACACAGGTAGACGGATATCCCGTGGAAAGAAGAGTCGTTGGAAAGATAGTGCAACGTTACGTTGCCGGGATCAGAAAGCTGCGATCAGAAAGTTTGGTAACCTCGTTCATAAACGCTATCGATCGGATGGGATACGCAGTTGAACGCTACATCCAGTCTCTAGAACAGTCTCAGGATAAAAACCACGCGCATCATTTCATTTGAACCGCCACGGTTGAAAGGAAAAACGGGGTCGGGGCGGGTGCAGGTGGCCCGCTACTTTCAGCCGCTAAAACGTGGCCGACACTAGATTATCGGCCGTCGCGATTGGGTATTCGTTGGGAATAAATGGCCGCTAATGGTATTTCTGGTAGGTGTCTCGGCCGATAACAGCGTCTATAAAGGGGCGACGAAAACAGCGCGGTGTTAACCAACCTTCGTGGTCCACCCATCGTCTCGCTAATGATCCAAACGTTTTAAACGTTCAAATTCGTCCACGTATCTTCGAGCTGGCCTCCATCGTCGTACTACACGTCGGATCACGTGGTGGCAACGGAACAAGGCATCCCACGGACGCATTCGGACCGTGCACCAACGATAATGCGTGTCGTCGTCGTCGTCCGCTGAGATTGGACCTTGCGTCGAGATTTCAGGTATGAGATAAATTTTAGGAACACGTTTCATTTTTTTTTCTTTTTTCCTTTTCCAACGAATCGCGAACGAGACGAGAAAAATGGGGTGGGAAAATGTCGAAGATGAGGTTTCTTTTTTTTTTTTCTTTCTCGAGGAATTTTATATTTAACTTTAACAATAATTATAGATTATATTTTTTTATAAAAAAAAAAGGAAAAATTTGCAGAAGTAAATCGTGTAAATATCGTGTATGTAAAATTATTGTTAAATTTAATTAATCGAATCGTAACACTTTTTTATCGTATGTTTTTTCCCCCATAATATTTTTTTAACGAAAAATCTGAGAATCGATTAGGAAAGGATTAAAAAAAGAGAAAGGGAAAAAATACACGCATAAATTGTGCGCGACCCGTGCTCGAAAAGTGTAAAAATTTCTCGAGCCGGTAAAAAAAGACGCGTTCGACGAACCGTGATATCGTATCATTACTTGTCAACAACAGAAACATTCCTTTTTTCCTTATATATTACGATATCGAAGTTTGTTTCGGTTTCCGTGTCTATTCGCTCGTTAATAATTCCACGAATTTCGAGCTCGAGGCGAAGGTCGGAGCCGTAATACGCCGCGACCGTTCGGTGTTTAGTCTTTATCGAGACATCGAAGCGTGCGCACCGTTACCTCGTCCGTGTAAAATTATTAATTTTTCATCCAATTTACGTTTCGTGCTACTTTTCCTTCTTTTTACGATTTTAATTATTTTCTATCGATTATTCGCGCGTTTACGATAAGTGTCGATTCGCGAGTGTCGCAGTGTGCGGATAATGGCGCCCCCTTCGACGACGCTTCTTCGCCCGTTTTTTAATCCGTAAGTAAATTCGATCGGTTATTTTATAATATTTAATATTTTATAACGTTTAATATGATTCTGTGTTTTCTTTTTCCCTCTCCCCTTTTTTTCGTAACTTATTCACAATGTAAATTAGATTCGCTCGCGCGTTTATTCTTGTCGATTACGGATGGATCGGTCGTTCGAACGGGAATATTCTTGTTAATCTTTCGTGCAAATTTTATTTCCCTATTATCAATTATCATCTAATATTCGAGTCCAATAGTTTCGTTTCGAAACCAAAATTTGTTATTTCGTTAAAAATTTATCGCGCGCTAGAAAGGTTGAAAGAATCCTTACCTCGTTCGTTTATACTCGTGGAAAATATCGGGATCGACGAGGGGTTTTCGTTCATTTTTACACGATCGAAATTTTATTTATTTATCCTCCCCTATCTGAATTATCAATAGCAGGAACACGTGTAGAAAAAAAGGTAAAAGTTTTATCGAGAGAAAATTTGTTGATTAATTAACGAATAGTTGCGTGCACGTTGAACGACAAATATTTAACGACGAATAATCCCGAGCTGAATAATCAGGAACAGGTATTTTTTTTTTCTTTTAATCGAAAAGAAAGAAAGAAAGAAAAAAAAGAAAAAAGAAAAAAGGAAAGAAAAGGAATCGTGAAACAAATACGAGCGTTCGTTTTATCCAGAGAATCCCTTCGAAT